TGGTTTACACCATACGCTTCTCGGCGTTAGAGGGCAGTTTGGCCTCTCGTGCCATCTACATGGGCATCCTGTGGATGGGCAGGAGTGTGCTGACAATGTTGCGAACGTGGATCGCCGTATGGATCGGTTTCCAACGCTGCCTCCTCACGGTTCGACCTTCGACGACGCGGTGCTGCAACGTAGGCCTTCGTCGGCCCGGCTGCCGAGTTTTTTCAATTTTCACCATCACTGTGCTACTGTTTAATCTGCCAGGGCTTCTTAACCGCATTTTGCTAAAATGCAACCGCGAGGACAGCCGCCTTTTACTCCTTCACAAAGTGCATGCCCTGGTCAGCAATTTCGTCATCTATGTCCTTCCCCTCTGCCTACTTGGCTTCTTTAGTCAGCGAATCTACGTGCGGACTCACAAGCTGATTGACCTGTATCGGCACCGTCCGCCACCGATGCCAGGAACCGTGACGCGAATCCGGCTCTTCTGCTTACACATGACAAAACTACTGTTAGTTTTTATGTTCACTTATGTCGTTTTAGCTGTACCCGCCCTGTTCCAGATGATCTACTACCTGCTTAAAATGCTGCGTCGCGAGGACTGGCGGTTAGTCCGGCTGCCGAGGGGAGTTAAGATTACATCTTCGGTCTGCTGGTGCGCCATATCGACCCTAGACTTGATGATTTTCTGCCTTTTCTGGCCACCCTTCAGACGGCGTGCCATCGATTGTGTAAGAGGATGCTGTCCGATCTTTGTCCAAAATACTTGAGAGCAGTAAATATAAAGGTTGGATTAAAAAGGCAGGCATTCATTATTTTTTTTGCATAAACTGTTCACCTCCACCCCTTCGTCCGGGAGAGTGTATATTCCCTTATTTGAAGTTGAATACTGTTATCATAATGCCTTCAATGTTTTCGATATGCCGCGGGTAATGAGGGAAATGACTCGATCGGCTGCAACCCAAAAGCAAGCGAGCACCATGTGCCCACCTGTAGTTAAACGTACCTACGTTTATAGCATAAGTAGATAGTAATGCGTATTATTTACAGTCAGGTCAGAACTTGTGTTCGTAGCGCCGAACGCTGCAGGGTTGGGGAAGGGACTCAGCATTTGTAAATAGGCCAAACTTGGGATTACCTGGGGATACATTAATGAAGTGAAATTATGCGGTAAATGTATTAATTTTTCCTTTACTAACTAAACCCACAGCGATACATCCGTACTAGAGGTAGCCTAACATTTAATTCTACTGATAATAGGACTGGGTTTAAGAGTTCATGTAAGTTTTGGCTTCCATGTATTCAGTGCTAGGTCATTTGCACTATGTTGATAGGTATTATCCTGGGTTCTTAGTTGTTGGCTTTTCAAGCGCTTTATGACCAATACTATTATATAAGGACTCAGTTCAGCGAGAGCCAGGATTGATTCTGGTTGAATAAGCACGACCATTCGATCCTCCGTTGATTTTACCTGCTTACTGTCCCTATTCTCTAATTCTCACACACATAGGCGTCTGGCTCCTCACGGGACTTGAATGTGAGCGCTTGTCCCCTTTACGTTAGAAACAGTTTTGAAATACTTCCAGCTGCCAATACGCTCTAGTTTTCAAAACACTATAAACAGAAGAATAAATTGAAAGGATATTTCGGGTTGATTAACTAGCATCAGCTACCCATTACCGATTCCAAGTGGGATGACCTGTGATTTCAGATCGAAACTTGCTCAAATGGTCACCGCAAATGTTCAAATGGGAGCACCGCACTAGAGTATGCGTGAGAATTTCGCATATCTCCTCGGCCACCTCACTTTAAAATATTCCTCAGACCTCCTCCATAAGCACAGTGTTATATCCCCCAGCTGTATTTGTAAATAGAAGACAGTGAGGATAACAGAAATAATTTTACCGCAACAGTGTCACCGCATAAACAACAGCTTTCCTGCGTGTCTCTCTACTTGTCTCTGTGTCCGTTAATTTCTCCTTGTTTCCATTCATAAAACGGTCATGTCAGGAATTCAGAAAGTGGTAAACACAATAACTGGATGTCATATCAGCTTCTGCATCAGGGTAAGTTACAGGTACTGCTAGGCCAGGCTGGCTGGCTGGCTGGCCGACGATGGCCAACAATTCAGAAACACGTATGCCTTTTCTCTTATCTTTGCCGGTATTGCCCTTCTAATACTGCTTGTCGTGTGTCTGCCAGTCAGGGTGCTATTTTTTTCGGTCATCCCCGGGCTCATGTTTCACCACTGAACACCTAACTACTGCTTGCAAGTGCGCAGCAGTGGCGGCCAATCCCAGATGTCGTAACTGACTAATAATCTTCAAGGTTGACTTGCACATGACCACGCTGGAGCCGTTGGGACGGCTACCCATGGTCTAGTGTTCGGGGACGGACCCTCGTCTGGCTGCCAACTGCAGGAATTCGGTATAGAATAAAATAGTCATTCCAACTGGTTTCTAATTCAGGACCGATCCCCAAGTTCGTAAAAGCCGCAATGTTAACTGAATGGGACGAACAGGTCCCCCAATCTGACCGGTCAACGTATTTGCAATAGTCTAGATCACAACTACCTGAACGGCCGGCCCGTGTGTCCTTTCCCAGTGGATGGTAGGAGAAGGTACTAAAGGTGCTCTTGCATTAAACGTCACGGAGATTAGGAAACTTTGTTGAGATTTCGTGCTAGCTTACGCGTTCTTGTATTGTGTAGTAGGTCATACGAACTTTGTGAGTAGTTATTGCTCTCCATTGCCAGTCGTTGAAGCCACAAACACACAGTGACCGAATAATGATATTCCAGAGCTAATTTCAGCCATATCTGAGGTTGATTCTGGCTGACTTAAGATGACCACCGTAAATCGCCCTTGCTTTGTCTGTTCACACTGCGCATTTTCTGTTTAACGCATAGGTAGCTGATTCCGTTTAAATATATGTGTGCGCTTGTCTCCCTTAAGTTTGAAAAAAAATGTTTTGAAATGCTTTAAGATGTTAACACGTTCCAGCTTTCATGATTATTTAGCAATGAGCAAGAAGGACCGGAAATTTATATTGATTATTTATTTCATAAGTTATGCCAGTTATACCTGATCGCAAGTTTTAATCACCTGAGATTACAACACAGAAATTTGATCCAACGCTCTATGGGCAGATGTCCATTATCAGGGACAATTTTGCATATCTCGTCGTGGAAATCGTGATAAAATTTTTTATACTTAATTTAAAATAGCTTATCGTAAAGCAATCCATTCTTCTGGAGAGCCAAATATTTACAAGTTCGCTCTCCAATTAGTTATATTGCTTTTAGGCATATTGAGCATCCCTCGCCCATTCCCATTCACCTAAATTACCACTCTTAACGAGGCCGTCCTAATCAAAGGAGTAGTTAATTTAAGTAAAACTGCCAAGCTCACGCTATACGACTTAATGCATCCCAAAAAAGCCGCCTTCGCAATACTAAAAGCAGTCGGCAGACCATAAGAGCTCACACGACACATCCAAATTAAAGACAAAATTATAGCCAGAAAGCGGTCATTAGACACAAAATCTAATGGCTCGAAACGAACAATCGCGAGGTAGGAATAGCTCTTAAATGGATAGAAAGGGCTCCAGCGCTGAGTACATTTAGCCAGTGGCGATAATCCCTATCTCCAATTTCATTATTCAGCCCTTATTCACCAACAGCCGTCAGGCCACCGACCTACCAATCAGAAAACGCCTGCGGGCTTG